CAGGTCCAAGGGAAGATTACATAAGGAAGTCAGTGTCAGGTTTCCAAGAGTCACATTTTTACAAGGCAAGAAGGTGGTGAACCATGCCAGCATCTACCCACAACTATTAGCCTGTGTTAAAAGCAAACAGCAACAACAGTGTAAGTTCTACTCAGAGGGAGTTTACCGCCCAGACACTCAGGCTCACAAAACCTTGGTTCTCAGTCCACTTAGTTACAACTTACATGTGCCTACATTTAGCAAGCATACTACTCAGAGGAGCAGAAACAGACAAGTCAAATCAATCACATCTGGGGACTAGGCAGGTTGTAGTGTGAAAAGAAAGTGAATTTATTTGAAGAGAGAATTCCTTATAGGACACAGTACACACAGAAACTCCCTTACTTGTATTTCAGGAAAAAAACAAGAGGCAGCAATAAATAATTTTTATCCAAATTAACTACAGAAATAGCACTTTCATCCTTTCAGTGGACAAAACAACAAAGCTGCTAAACTGATTACAAACCTTGTTTATTATGAATTAAATCTTCCCAAAGTTCCTTTTTTTCAGACATCTTTTTTTTATTTAGAAATCAAAGATAAACTTTTTAGATTTTTACCACCATAATGTTTGGACTTTAAGCATCGTAAGAGTGGCAAGTTAAAGAAAAGCTAGTAAAAAATGCTATAGCTTAAAAAACCTCCAAACTCTATCTCTACTCAGATATATCTGCTGCAGACACATATGTAGCTGGTTTTGGTACTTGGATAATTTATCCCCTTGCAGAGCAAGCACCACAATGCACATGCAAACATGACAATCAATCATATTTGCTGGTCCAAAAGCCAGTACAAGTAACCAGCAGACCAGTGACATTGCCTCTGCAAAATAAACAAGTAGTATTTTCTACCCTGCCTTCCAGTTAACAGGAAGGCAGTGCTGCCTCCCAAACATCTTGTCACAACACTTCTGAGCACAAGACTGCTCCTGTTTTTGTCATGCAAAGAGATTATCATAAAGGATGGTTGCTATTTTTAGAGGCAACACTGGAAACTACACAACTCTGCTCCAAATTGTGAGCTCATATACCTTAATGGAGGTGAAGCTGTTCAATCACAACACTCACATAACACACACTCACTGTGTACTGGCAATTTAAAAAGGTCATTTAAGGAGTTCTTGATCTGTTTCTTCCTGTAGTTCAATTACAACCATCAGAATATAGTGCTACAAACCCACAAAAAAGTGGTTTGCTTCATTAGATCCACTATTTTTAGTTAAAACACCTGACCTTTCCTTCCTCTGCTGTTCCAACCTCTTCTAAGGCACATCCAGGAATTTTTCCCTTGCCAATACTTCGGGGAGGCTTGACAAGCACAAGATTTACACATGTAGGAACTCCAGTTCAGAGATTAAAAAAAAAAATAATCAGTTTTCTTCCAATATTTGAGATGTGTTGAATAAAGGTAAATACTTCGAGTCTGTCAAAAGCCACTCCAAGGGGAATAGTGAGAATCTAAAGATTTAAACAGTTCAGTGATACAGGAAAAGTCTTTCATGTCTTATTCTGGAATTTCAAGGCTTACTACAGAATATTCAGCTCACTCTTGTCTCTGACTTGCCCCCACCGTTCTTGCACAGGCCATCTAGCTGCTCATGTTACTCAAGACAAATTACAGTGCTCAAAATATAATTAAAATTAATGCTATGTGGAAAGACATCTACTAATTTGATGATTAAGTGTTTTCCATGTTTACAGTAACTATAATCATAACCACTCCTAGACCTGGAAAGGATAAATTTCAACAATAAGTCAAAAAAACCCACACACCTCTGCTGTTTATCTGTTTCAAGAGCTACAGTCCAGATAAGAGTGCCATAATTATCAGTGATCTAGACAAAGCATTGCTTCAGCTAAGAATATGTTTATTAAGCAACTGAGCATTTTCAAGTGCAGCCTATAAAAGGTTCTTGGTATTACAGTATCAATAAATATCAGAGTATTTAAAGGGCACAGAACATCCCTTCAGAATTTAGTGAACAACATTTATGATAACAGAAATGTAAACACAGCATTTTGCCTTTAATGTCACTGCTCGAGTGTCTGTACTATCCTAACTCACTACTGATTCAGAGCAAATTATTTTCAGGTCAAGTTTGAAAACTGAAGACAAACATAAGGAGATATTCAGTTAAATGCTACTTACGTAGCTTATCAATCAAAGACTCTCCCTATGGTTTTAAGTGCCTACTCTGGTCACTCAAGCAAACAAATAGTTCAGAGAAAGTGCTAGTGCTTATTACCTGCAGTTACTCGGCCTATAGATGATCATTTAATTGGCTGATGTAAACTAATGTCTGTTTCTCATAGTTCTTTTATCAAGCTAACAACCCAGCTGTTACACCTCATTGCACCGGAACACCCACCGTTCTCTGTAAGTTTTTGTCAGAGGGGAGGCCAGCAGAAACTGTAGAAATTGCAACATAATGAAATGGGCAAAAGCAGTCTCAAAAGATTTTCAGAACTACATCAGGAAATTCTCCCCACATGTGGCCACTATACCAGGTCTGTAATTTTTTAAAAAATATTTTCAGTTTTATAAATAATGCATTACTAAGATACAAAAAGCTTGAGAGGTGCCAGGCAAAAGAGGGCCTTGAGAATGAGAGACAACATGGCCCCAATACTTCAGAGAACTGAGAACTTGAGCATTTAGGGTCATATAACAGTCAGACTCCAGGTGTAGAATATTTAAGAAAAGATACTTTAGAAAAGACTGAAGCAGGAAGCCATTCTACTTATTTAATTCAGTCACAGACCAAACAAAAAAGGTTGGAAAAACAGCATCAGACTCTACATTCAGCAGTATTTAGTTGGCTGTTACAGCTTTTCACTTCTCAGATTCTACTTTTTTCTCTAGCACCTACTGTCAAGCTTAAAATTTTGGCTTTTAACTATGTCTTGTTGTCATGGCACCTTTTACTTTACATGTGAGCCTACAGAAGCACAAGCAACATTTTCACATAAAATACTGCTCTTGCTATTAGCTACTTATTGTATATTTTACCTGGAGAGTTTAAAGCTTAAGAGACTAATTGTATAGAGTATTCAATGCTTGTAAAGTATCACTTAGAAAGACCTGACAGCCTGGGCAAGTTTGACATAAGGAACATCTGCAATTAGTACACTGATGCAGATATGCAAGTGGTAATTATTGATCAATTAACTTGAACCTGCAAATCAAATCTGAATTTGAAATAAAACTCAATTAGTGCTTACTAATAGTAAGTTCAGGAAGTTATATTTCATTGACTTGATTTTTTTTTCCTCCTTCACTTCCTCCATAACATGGCTACACAGGGTAAACTTTGTCATTACCAGTCAGTTTCTCATTATATAAAAACTTCTGAATGTTTTATTTCTTAGTAAGTTTCATTTCAGCAGTTCAGATTGCACAAAGTCTGTAACACATATTACCTGCTACTAGCTGTCCACCCTAATCTCCTCTGACTTTTTAAAGCACCTCAGATGAGACTCTGGTCCATCCACTTCAACTTAGAGATTAAGGTCACTTCTACACTACTATTATGCACTTTACTTCAAACTATAACATCTGACTTATTAAGAGGCAAACTTTCAGGCATGCAGTGTTTGGGCAGTGCCACTCTTAACGTCACTGCTGCAGAAGCAATGACAAGCAGGTGGCTCTGCTGAATACTTCTGAGACCAGAACAAGTAACTTCCCAGAGCTCTGCAGCAAAGGAACACCAGAAGCTCAGCAAGTGTCCCCATAGTCAAGTGAAAACATTTTACAGTCCTACTAGGCACTCACAGCAAAACCTCAAAGTCTCCAAGAGTTATTAAATTTGAACAGCAGAAAGATTTGTTGCCAACACTCCAGCTAGATTCTACCGAGCATCTGTCAGCTATGTTGCAGTTAAACACCATAACATATGTATTTAAGATCTTATGCATTATACAGAAGTGGTATAAAATTGTTCTCAAGTTTGAACAGAGAATTCTGCATACTGAAATTGAAGCACGTTAGATTTCTTGGGCAAGTCCCTAGATGTAGCAAGACAACTTGTTTCTTCATTTGAAAGATTAGAGCATGCACAAGTCTAGAGAGGTTTTAGTATTGCATGTGATAAACAAGAAAATTGAAGCACAACAAAATCTCAAGTATGTGATAACATAAACCATGAGGTCAGACACCACAAAGAGTTGTATGTGTCGTTTATTGAATTTCAAATTCCATGGTACATCATAGATTAAATAGTTAAAAAGTGTTTACTATCATACAATGTTCAGAATAGTTTTTCAAAACATCTCTTTGGACAAAACTAAGAGCCAAATTCAAGCACAATTCCCCCAGAGCAGAATGCTAGGGGCCGAAGAAAGCTTCAGAGTACTGACTGTACATAACACTACACAAAGCATGATAACACACCAAGTCATTGTTCTCTGCTGCAACACATACTGCAGAGAGAAATTCTATACAACGCTTGTTACCATCATGCAGGCACCTACTGTACTACTGGGACAAATTACCCTCAGATCCTGCTCCTCTCCTCCAAGATTTCAATACTCCATATAAGAGTCCAGACTTATAGTTCTAGGTTCTGCAGTGTTTTACATGACAGAGCTGAAACCAGACTATTAGCACTAAATATAGTCACAAACAGAAGAGCAAATTGACAAGGTCATGCTCTTATGCTCTTCAACTCTGACACACAAGATGCCTATAACTGAAACTTATCTTTAAGACATGATATCACCTGCAGTCAAACAACTATGAATGTGAACAACAGCGATGTCTTGGATTGCTTTGACATTTCAGACTGGTTGAGGTGGGAGACTAGTGCTTGAACTGCACTGCTCAACACTGCATCCTACTTGTGCCATCTTGCCTCAAACAAATATACAATTAAGTAAAACAAAATGCATCAAAAAAGATAAATTTATGGTAGACTGTTGGCAAGAATCATTCAATTACATATTTGTCCTATATCTCAGGCATTTGTACAAGACACTGGAATCTAGAAGCATTAGCTTTAACTTGTGCAACTTAAAAATTTCCTTCAGGAGGAGTTCAGTCATCTGACTGGACAAAAACATCTCCCAACCTTGCATGGCAGCCATCAGTCGTAGCTCACCTCACAATAAGGTTCCGAGCTAAAACGTCAAAAAAGCACAACAGTGCTGATTCCAAGCAAAGTCAGGATTTACAGTTCAAGATTTCCCTGCTGTATTACTGTTTCCATTTGCAACACTTGCTGAGGAAGCCTCACAAAGGCACCACTCCCAGCTGCAGCACATACAGTGGTACTGATGCAAATATGTATTTTGCTGCAAAGCAGTTGGATGTATTAGGGCTTCCACAGAGCCAAGTGTGCACAACATGAAAACATGTAAAACAGCAGGTTTAACCTCAGCAGCCTCTTTGACTGATGTCTTGTCCTGAAGATTTTGTAATATCCATTGTAGTAAACACCTGTAAGACATCAAAAGAACAGTTTAATTATTGTTGCTCTGTATTATCATCCACAATGGCTATTGGTCTCCTCTTGTAAAATAACAATATTAGATTCCATTGAACTGTTACAATGGAAAACAAGTTGCAGTTGGCAATTAACACATTTTCTATCACATGCCAATCTCTTATGGTTAGAACTTAACCAAATACTAAATAAGTTTCATAAAATACAATGTAGTATTCTTTCCTTGCATCCAGGTAACCATCTTTAAAATCAGGTTTTAAATCAAGCTGTGCCCACCCACCCCCCCCTTACCTCTGCACAAGTTGGATGGATACCAATTGTTTCATCAAGTAATTCTTTGGTGAGACCACATTTTATTGCGGCAGCAAAACCTTGGGTAACTTCACCAGCATTAGGGCCAAGAACATGAAATCCTATCACACGATTCTTTAAGACAGGTGAGAGCAAAATAGGAGTTAGTACTAGGTAAAGTTTAACAAAAGCTCCAGCATGTAACCTCCACTACATTAAAACAATGTTGTGCAAAGCAGGTCAATAGCAGTCATTAACAAAAAAAATTAACTACTCCAAAGAAAGTAGTTCTGCAGTTCTTTTCAGCCCATTATAGCTGAATGAAACAAGTTTTAAAATTAATTAATTTTAAAATAATTGCACAGAACTAATTCAAAGATACTGCCTAAAACTAAACAGATTCTAGTTTTGTCAGCTGTTTTAATGATTTTATAGATATACATTAGTATATCTAGATATACATTTAGTATATTCAGATTTTAAAGTATCTTTCTACATTGAAATAAGGTCAGATAGAGGACCTGTTTATATTGTTTGTTAAAAAAACTGATAGTGGAGAGCTTCACTGGCTGTTCCATTCCTCCCCAAGCAGTTAACAAGAAGGAAAATGGAAACATAGACTTCAATTTTGAGCAAGCCATCTCTGTAGCAAGACAGAGTGATGGAGTAGGTTACAAAAACAAGATAAAAAATGGGTGTGGTTTGCTTCAATTTGTTTCATTAATTGGTTTATATAGAGGAATGCAAACAATGTTTTAAAACATTTTCCCAGGATGCTCCCATACCTTCAGAGATGTCCTAGCCCAGGTCTGGCCATGACTTGCAAGACAGGATAGAAATTCCTCATAATATGAGCTATTTATACTATTTACTTTACATTCTCCTCCAGCATCTTAGGAAAAAGCCTTTCATATAGAAATCTAAATAAAGTCCCTCCTTCCATTGTGTTCTTTTCATTTGGATTATTTCCAATGAGGCTCCAATAAAAGCAGAACTTTGAGCCTTTCTGCAGACTTTGAGAAAGGATTAGGTGGGCTAATAAGGAAAAGAGTGAGATTACTTCCTCTTAGCCATGCTATTTCATATCATTCCTTCTCTCCAAAGTAATTTTAAACACCAAAAGTCTTCCTTTGTCTGTTCTCCCAGATAGTTTTGGGGAAAGATACCAGATAGCATTGGCACTTATTTTTTTTCCAACAACAAGAACCTACTGATACTAGAAATTCCCATTTCTCCTCAGCTTTCTAGGACCAATCACGTTTTCCAGGTTTCTACTGAACATAACACAACTCTGCACTTTGCAAAGGGCAAAAACCAGTAAGACACCAGATACTACAGTTACTCAAAACCTACTTGGAAGAAAAACCCTGGCAAATTTCTTCACAAATCTATCCTTAATTAGGAACTCAGGATGAAGTTTTATAACGCTTAAAGCTACCACTTGCTCAAACAGCTTTTATACCAAAAAACCTAAACCAATCAGCTCTCTCCAAATGGATTAGACCTCTTAAATACTTGTGTTAACGGGACGGGTAGAGTTGACCTCAGGCAGGCCAAATTAAGGATACTAGTCTTTTGGCTGGTCTAGAAAGAAATTTCAGGAATACACTCAGCATATCCATTCCAGCTTGCTACTTACATTGTCATTTTTATTACAGATAATCTTGGCATAACAAGTATTGTTATCTCTGCCTGGTACTGTCCATTCAAGTGGCCAGAACAAACTGTGATATACCTGGGAGGATGACAAAGAAAAGAGCTTTAGATTTTCAGGAATTAATTCAGTCATATATAATTCTAATTTTTAATGTCTTTACAAATAGGTGGTTTGACATTTAACCCACTAGATTTTTATAACATATACTAGACAAGACAGTGATTTTCACCCCACCTCACCCCCCCACAGCCCAAGCAGTCAATCCTCCAAAAGTCAGTAGAGGAAGATTTGACTCAAACCATTTGCCCCTGATTTAAATACTCAATTAAAACAGCAACAGCTATAAGACACAGCATTTCAAGATCATACCTTCAAGAAGAGAATTGCTTTAGTAGTACAAAATCAGTATCTAGTTACTATAAGCTTAAATCTATTCTGCAAAACAGTTAATAGCAGAAGCTAAATAATGCCAAGTATACTTGAAAGATGTAAGGAGTTAAACACAAGGCACGCAAACAGCTTCAATGAAACTCTTCAGAGAAGTGCAGAAGCCAGAAATTACCATAAGACAGGGAAGTTACACCTGATACTCCTATAGCCATAAGAAAAGGTCAGGAAGAAATTTCAAGTATGGTGAACAAGCAGAAAAGAGACAGTTCATTCCAGGAGTCTGGTATACTTCAGCAATAAGTCTTTAATTCATGATAACAAAAAAAACCACCTACACCTACAGATTTGCAACCTGAGTTTGGCCTCTTGAAGTCAAATGCCTCTCAGGAGCAAATAGCTACAAAATTCTAATCATATCAAGTCCAGTCCTGGATTGTTAGGAGCCCTTGTTAGCCAGATGACAACACTTCCACAATCAAAGACTTATCTAGCTAACCTTCTAATCTTGTTTTAACACTCTGCCTTGAGTGTGAAGCAGCAAGGCCCAAGAAAAACATTTTCAAGCTAAAAGTTAGACAAGCCTCGAGTGCTCTCACCTCCAAGTTTTGGTTTCCGTATTGTTCTATGGCTCTTTCTTCAGCTAACCCACAGCTGCCATACTCTAAAGGAGTAAACACTGTTGTTGGTACATTGATATAGTCACACTAAAAATAAAAAACAAAATTTATATTTAGACTATGCAAGTTCTATACAGCACATAACAGGAAAAATTTTACTAGCACTTCTGTAAAAAAACAAACAAACAAAACCAACCCAAAACAGCACCAAACAAAAAACCACCAAAAACCACAAGCAGTGCCCACAGTCAAGTGAACAGATCAACTCACATTATTGCAATTTTGAGGCAAAAAGCACAGAAATAATTTGAAGTTGTATTCTTATAGCTTTACCTTTGTGGAACTACCACCATAAAGCCTGCGAGCTAGCAGTTTCCCTGCTTGAATGGCAACTGGAGTAAGTTCAAGTTTTCCATCCAATATATCCCCAACAGCATAAACATAAGGCACATTGGTTTGTTCCTCATCATTCACAGGTACTTTCCCATTCCTTTAAAACAAACAGAAAATACAACACAGTTCAATATCATAACCTTCCTCAGAGCTCAGCAAGAAACAGAGGGAGAAGTTCTGCTATAAACATGTTATTCTAACTATTAAGCACATTTTATTAAATATGATTATGTCTTTTTTACTTCAACTGCAAACTCTTCAGAGCATCAATTACCTCTGACTCTGACACATGGCTGAAGTCAGTACTCAGTGGGCCAGTTTTGACCTGAGCAACAGTGTGTGTCTGATGACAATTAAGTTAAACATCTTTGGACTTACTGTCTTTTACTTGATTATTATACAGCTTGTAATGTACATTTTCCCCTCTGGGCAATAAGAGCTGCCATATCACCCTCATGTTTAAGTAAGTTGGCTTAGTAAGTTTTTAGCTGCTTCAACCTGATCTTTATTTTTCTTTTCTCCTGAACAACATAATCCTGCCTCTTCCTTTGCACCAGTTTTGCACTGACACAAAGGAAAAAAGTTAAAACTTTAGGAAGCAAGTAGTTTGCTTCCTCTTTAAATCCCTAGATTAACTTGCCACATGAGCTGAATAAGATGTTTAATTTAACAGAATGTTAAACTGCAGTTTCTAAGTAAATTAAGCAAGTATATTAAATCTATTATTTAAGGCACAGAGGCCAACAAGTAGGTATTAACTCAGAATAATTCTTTTCCTAAATACATATTAAAGAGATGGAGTTAATGGACAACTGTACTCCAATCCAAGAGAGAAAAGGTTTTAGAGGTTCACACAATTGACAGGCATAAGAGTAAAGTTTTGTTGTTTTTTTTTAAAGCATCAGTATCATTAGATTTTGTTAAAGAAGTAAAAAAATCATCACATTCAGTGGTTTAAGGGAGTTGAGCAGTACTCACTTCTCATTGATTTTGACACCAATCGTATCTAAACCAATATTTCTGGTACATGCATCACGACCAACAGCTATCAAAACCTAAAAAACAAAATTAAATGCAATAATTTTATGCAAGAAAAGCATAATCAGTATAACACTTCCTGTTGTTTTTTTCCGAAAACAAACAAAACCAAAACCAACCAAAACCTCACAGAACCAAACAAACTGTGAAGCATAAAATTGAAGTGGCTTTTCAAAAAATTTTTGAAACATGAATATTGAATTTCATGGGGTTTTTTTCTGTCAGTAATTTATGAATAATTTTCAAGCAGGATTTCCCTTTCTTTTTTGCCTGAACAACTTTTAAAGTATTTTAACACATTTTCATGTGCTGCTATATTCAGCTATTTCAAATCCAGAAATGCTTACAGTGTTATATTCCTCTTCAAAGATTTCTGGTCCCTCAGTAGACTTTGCTGTCACTTTCAGTCTGCCAGGCATGCCTTCCTCCAGCTGTTCAACCTGTATAAATATTTGTAAGCTTAGAATGATCTTAAGCAGCAGAGCTCACTCACATTGTCACTCCAAACCTTGACCTACTAATCTATCATTCAGCAGTAAAAAAAGCTTAAACTCATAAAACATTCCTGTAAAGAGCCAAAGCCTTCCCAGACAGCACGTGCATTCTACATGTACTTGTTTAAAGCAGTTTTGCATGCAGAGAAGAAACCTAAAGAAAGCACTTGCCTGAACAGGTACAAACTTCCTGATGAACTTTACGCCATGTGTTTCCATGTGAGCACCTACTTTTTCTGCCATTTCTTGGTCAAAGCCCCGAAGGAGTATGGAACGTACCATCACTGTGACATCTAGACCTAGACCAGCAAGAAATCCTGCACACTCTAGAGCCACATAGGAAGCACCCACAACTAGAGTTTTGCCAGGGCAGTAGGGCAGGGAGAAGAGATCATCACTAAAAAGAAAAGAAGCAGAAGTTACAACACAAGTTTGTCTTTCCAAACACTAGAACAGATAAAGTTCAGTTGATCATGCCTTCTCATCTCACCTTGTAATACAATATTCTTTATCTCCAGGGATACCCAGATATCTAGGCCGCTCTCCTGTTGCCAGGACAAAAGTCTCTGCTGTGTGATAGGTTACTTGTCCTTTTCTATTAGTTGCCTGTGTATATAGACACGGTTAAAGTCTTTATCATAGGAACAAGTTTTAAGACAAAATAAAAATCTTAGGTAATCCTCCCCTTAAATATTGTAGGATATGTTTAAAAAGAAAGAATAAGCAGTTGCAAATAAGAACTAACGCATTTAGAGAAGCCATGCAAGTCACTGAAGAACAATAGGTTTAAATCAAACTATCAGGCTTTTCTCACATTAGTTAGAGCACTTAAAATCATTTACTCTTTGAATCCTGCCCATTTCAACCATTCATTTAGGCTGCGTTGTTCATAACTTCACATTTAAGTTATAAAAAGCCACAATAAATTAAGCCTCCCCTTGTTTTTACAGCTACACTTGCTGAACCAAACAGTTGTCTTCAATATGCACTTACTTCTAAGTTAACCTTGCTACGCTGTGATCACTTACAGCAAGATTGCCAGCACATGTTTTGTCTTGCAAAGCTGACAGTTTAATTCTTATGCTGATACAGCACAAGGTTCTAGTAGTGCTGTTATGCAAGTGCTTAATCCGAGTTTAATTTCAATAGTTTTTACACTTTAGTATGAAGATTTTCCAGTGGCAAAATGGTACAGCTAAAGCTTTTTTTTTCCTCCTCACTCAGGTTGCTGACCTCAGTCATGAAGTCAGCAACTGAGACCACCTTACTCTATTCATGCAAGACATCAGTTTACAGATAGCCACATTACTCTTACATAACAGTTACTAGGTTTGCAAGCACTGTGGCATGTACTAAAGTACAATAATAATTTGCATCAATAACTTATTTCGCAAATGAGTTTTTAATTTCAGTTGACTGAAGCTGGCAATGTTAAGATGAAACCTTTACCTTGTCAAATTTTAAAAGGCAGTTTTACAACGTGAGCTTCCCCTCCCAACTAAATGTTGCAAACTCAGCACATACCTTAATTTTGTGTGGTTCAATGAATTCTCCATAAGAATTAAGGTATGTCACAGACTTCTCTCTTAAGGACACTCGATAGCCCCAGTTTAGAGAACCTATGTAGTTTTGAATTGCTTCTACCATGACCTCCCAGTTGTGTTTAACTGAAACAAGACATTAATTTAATGTTTAAAGAAATCAAAGTGCAATGACCCTTTTAGAGAAAAACTTAAGTCTTATTGTACACCAGGCTAAGAAAACATCATTATTATCAGTAATGAGGTTACATATTAAAGTCTTGTTCTACTATGCTAATATTTACCTGACTTGTTACTATCTGAAATAAGCCCATTCTAGAAGTTCTTTCATTTAATTCAGATAAAATAGGGAACAAGACACAATTAGCATTCAATCCTAAAGTTTTCTATGACTCAAGAAGGAGGATGCCTTCTGATTCACCCCAGAAAACTACTGAACTCGGCCTCTAGTTTATCAAGTCCAAAGTACAAGAACAATCTAAAGCTCAAGAGTCTCATCTGTACACTGTCTTGGTCTGTCCTCTGTGTTCTTACTAACCTTGTTCTTCATACTGCCACCCGTATTTCCTTGAATCTTGGAGTGCCTGGCCCAGAAGTGCTGCTTGATGCATTAGCTTCTTAGGAATGCAACCTACATTTACACATGTGCCACCAAGCCCTAAGATGGAAAGAACCATGTTATTACCTGCGTGAACAGTATATTTATGCTTTTCCTATCATGTGCTTTGTATAATCACCCATATATCAGTTGGTTTGCAATAGCCACATAAGTAACACAAAATTTCTGTTGCAAGAGACATTTTAAAAGACAATGAACACACTTAAGCTTCCATGTTTGTATTCAGTTTAAGAATTGACTGAATTGAACTCATTGAACCAAGAAGGGTACACTGTGTTGCCTTAAACATAGACACAGTATACTTACTCCAGAGTGCTTCAGATTTTAGTCAGGTTGGCAAGTAAGCAAGGCAAAAAGCCCAGAGTTCCTAGAGTTTAGGATCACCTATTATGTGGAATTTGAAATATGCATGTGTTTGAAATCTTAGCTATGACAGCACATTCATACCTCAACTCCATAAAACTTGACCAGTGAAGTTCCTTACTCATTCTCAAGTGCCAATAGTATTAAGGCCAGACAGCAGCTGTCTTTAATTATGGAAAGGTAAGGCATGCATAGTCATATAGTCATATTATTCTGGAGGTTGCCCAGATCAGTTGTCCACAAAATAGAACTAGATTAATTAAAAGGCAAAAAAACCCCTACAAACATGAGTATGTGAACACACACACACTATCTGGACACAATTTGGAAGTGAACAGATCTAGAAAAAACATTTGACAAAGACCTGAGAGTTAGCAATGCACAAAATAGAAATAACTGTCCAGAAGAGCAGGCAAGCCAGGAAAGCAACTCCTTTGTTATCTGTGTTCCAGAACTACAGGAATCAGCCACTATTTCTAACAATACAAATCCATAATACCCAACAACACAGTACCTATCACTGGCACACAAACATCACAAAATACAAGTTAAGAGAAGCTTACCCCATGAGGTTCCGAGAGGCGTTGGAACAACATAATCTAATACCATGACTTTCTTTCCCAAGGAAGCAGCTTCCTACAGAAGAGAGACAAGTCAGCATTACTGAACTTTTGGCTGACCAAGAAAGCCTGTCTGCTTATTCACAGTCACAATATAGTTAGCACTAATAGAAGGCTCCTTTTGCTAGTTAAGGCTCATTATCATATGTGGCTCTTCTACCTCCTTTACTAGATGAAAATTGAATTATCTCAGAAACTATTACTTTCTTCCAAACTTCGAATGGATGCTTCTGTTCAATGCTGCATCGACATGATCCTACACTGTCAAAAGCCATGATCTGAAGACAGTATGAGATGGGCTTATCAGCCTATGATCCTCTTCCACCTCACCCAAAGAAATCTTTATGCTGTTAGCTCTCCTTTTCTCTCAGGAGTGCAGGACTGACAAGGCATGTTCATGAATGAAAAGTGCCATTAATAAACTGGAGATAGTTCAATGAAGGACCACCAAGATGCTCAGGGGGGCTGGAGCACACACCCTGTTAGAAGAGTGAGAGAACTTCACATATTCAGCCTGGAGAAAAGGTGGATTTGGAGGGGACTCAACATCAACTTTCCAACACCTATGAGGACATCATTAAGATGACAGTGCCAGGTTCTTCAGTGCCGGTGAGTAGTGAAGGGACAAAAGACAATGGCCATAAGTTGAAACGAGAGAGTCTCAGACCGGATATAAGGAACTTCCACACCATGGGGACACTCAAACAGTAGAAACAGGTTTCCCAGAAAGGCTGTGCCATCTCCATCCCTGGTTATTTTCAACACCTAAATTGATGAGGTCCTGCATAATCTTGTTTGACCTCTAAGTTGACTGTGCTTCGAGCAGGAGCTTAGAGTAGACACTTTCCTAATGTCCATTCCAACCTGAATAGTCCTATGACACTCTATCCAAGGAATTATCAGGCACTTGACTGAATCTACCCATTGTTTGATCCTTCAAGGGCTTGGATCAAATATTTCGGTGCCTCAAATTTGTTTAAGAACTCCTGCACAGTCACTGCAATCCTGGCTCAAACAAGGTCTAGCTAGCTATCTTGATTTCTGTGCATACCTGACCTCTCCTGCTCTGAACAGTTTGCTAATTATTACCAGTTTTATATCTGATGTCCCAGAAGGTACTGTGAGGAAAGATCTGGAGCATTCTGAAAATGCCCAATTTGCCACCTCAAGAAATCAATTGTCCTGCCCGCCTTATATTTACCTAGTGAAAGTTGAATGTTTAACTATATTGTTGTGCAGCAATCGCTAAGGCTGTCAAGAATAACATCACCATGCCCAAACCATAAACTGACAGTTAGGAGACCAGGCTGAGAGGTAGGAAGTGTGTTTTCAAATACCTCAGGTAGAAGAGAACACTGAATCCACACCTTAGGTCCTGAGGCACTCTGAACAACAGCTAATTGTGTAAGAGGCACACAATCTCTATCACCATTTCTGAAAAAGCAGCTAGAAAGAACTAAAGAGTGAACCAGTTCCTTGAGAGAACAGCTGACAGCACTTCATTTTAGATGACTGGTGATTCTGAATACTAAACAGTCAAGTTTTCCAGATTACTGTTTGGAAGTGTAACAGTGCCTGTGTACTACACACGAAGAGGAGATACTTAAACTTTTGGTTCTACCCTCAGCCAGGAACCTAAAACCTATAATCAGGATTATACGACCTGAATAGACATTGGCTAGAAACTGGTCCACACAGACCATGATCTGCTGAGTGAGCACATTACTAGACCACGACTGATTTATTAATTAACAAGTAATAATCATAAAAATATAGATTGTATTATACTACTGTGATTAATAGAGAGACTAACTCTCTAGTTTCATGTACAACCTGTTCTTTGATGCAATTTTAACGTCATACCTTGGAACACGCAAGTCCACCTGAGCCACCACCAATAACAATGAGATCATAATCATAAGGTTCTGCATCTTTGCTATCCCCAAGAAGTTTCTGCAGTGATCCATCGTGATAAGCCTGGGAGGAAATACAAAAAAAAAATTACCACACACATTTCTGAGCAAACAAAACCTGAATGACACTGTTTTCTCTGTCATAAATCCCCCAGGCTGTCACATAATTGACTTATGATCAAACTGCAATTTCACTCAGTAGTTTCATCTACTTCTGGATGATTTTTAAAGAAAAGTTACCTGGTAAGTTGAATCACAGCCGCCTACGTGAGTTCCGTTCACAAATACATTAGGCACTGTCCTCTGATTAGTTAGCTCTACTAACACTTGCTGAATACTGGATCCATCAGCTAGGAATAAAAGAAACGGGTACATTATAGAACAACGTTCAAGAAGGGAGTTTTTAAACAACCTGAAGTATTAAAGGTTTGGACTACAATATACTTGAGACCTGCCAAGGAAACAATTCTATTATAAGCATCACATTTGTAGACCTCCTGAACATAAGCAAATCTTCAGAAACTACTTCTTACAAGAGCATGCTTAAAAGGCAAGGATAAATTGGTGCTTCAAACCATTCTACAGAATTGGAGTAAAGTAGATGTAATAGAGCTTAGTCCCTGTATTTCCTGGATTCTTATCAGTGTCTTCCTGATAGTTTCACACTTGGTGCTACACAAAAATTCTTTTCCAGATATCACAGGAGATCACACAGACAGCTTTTCTTTCAAGAGAATTGTCTGGTTTTGGCATATGTTCTGTGTAAGTGTACATAGTTTTGCCCAGCAGCTTTGTATTATAAGAATATGGGAAGAATGAACATGCTCTTCTACTTACCCTAAAGATACCTTCAGACTTTCTCTACCCACACACTGTCTTAAACCTTCCAATTTTAAGACTACCATTGCCTGACTTGTCAACTGAATCATCAGCACCTACACACAGGCTCAGTTTGGATTTCTCAGCAGTTATCCAGCAGTAAATGTGGGAATGAGAATTTACAATAACTGTTTTGACTGAAATCTTTTTACTCTAAGACCATATCTGTTCAGTATCAGTGATCAGAGCAATTGCAAGGGAAATACATTATTAAAAGTAAGTGCAGAAAAAAAAAAAATGACTGTGCATTGCACTTTGCATATCCTGGGCTTTAATTAGTTCACAGTATCACAACTTCAATAAAAAGTAAAAATAAGTAAGAAGAGATGCTCTGGATCAACAAATAAATACATTTTTCCCAAACACTGCTTAGGCACTAACACTTCGAAAAAGCATTAGTACTTTAAAAAAAGTATTGGAAACTAAGTTTGTATAGAAAAAAATTGATAATGCACGTTCAACAGCTTACCAACAGTAAATTAAGTATTTACTAAGAATTATGTTAGAAACTATTTGTTCTTAGAATGCATTATGTACATATATGCATAAGGCATTACACATGTACTAAAACTAAAGCATCTTGGGCTTTAAAAAAAACCAACCTCAAACTAGGAACAGCCAAAGAACTGGAATTTACCCTTCCTGCCAATGACTCGGCAACTTTCCCTGTGAAGGTCACTCATATACCAAGTCAAACATTAACAAGTCATCTAAAGCTACAAAAGAATGTGAGGCAGGACAAAAATACCACAGGCTTTTTCCCAAAAGACAGAGCTCCTCAGAGAGAAATCAGATCTCGCATCCTCCATCAGCTGAGGGTTTGTACAGAAAGAGTCAAACCCTTCAGTTATATTAAAAACACATCCTGTATTAAAATCCACACTGAAGCCTAATTGCTTTTATTTCTACATATATTAAAATTGATTTTAATTGTTTTACATATCCTCCAATTAGTTCAAGGCAGCTTAGAGTCATGCACAGTCACTCATTTTTAGTTAAATTAAACAGCATGTGATAGTTTTTCTTTCTTCCACTTACCAGTTATATCAAGTTCCAAAGCATAGTACTCCACACGCATAGAGCGGAAGAGTTCTTTCACCTACAACACAAACAGACACAATTCCAGTGCAAAGGTTTCACAACATCTGATACACAGCTCAGGGTAAAACTTGGTTGTCGGACATACACAGGTAACTTAAGTCTCAGTTATCATGTTTTGAGGGCCTAGCCCTACATAGCTTTGGTAAGTTTGGTACTACTTCTATGTTTTGCATGTTCCTCACTTAATGCCAGGCTATTTCACAGCACTCAGATTAAGCATCCCACGTCACAGCAGCCTTCCAATACAAGTTTCATTACCTTAAGAAAAAATTTCTATATGCAATTTGCATAGCTGCAGACTTCTACATCCTTGACAAATACCAAAATCCATGAGAATAACTCATATGGAAAAACATCAAGAAGAGAGATAAAACAGCAGTCAGATTCCTTGACAGTACTAAGGAAATAAATAAAAAAGGGAGTACAGGATAACATACAAAACACTGTCAAGGAAATGCAACAAATTAAAAAGTGCATTATAAAAAGCTGCAGAAAAGGTAATAATTGCCAAGTGTAGCCAGCACTAGCCCACCAGCCCTGCATTCACTCTTGGTTGCTGTACTTGAGAAAAGTTTTAGAACAAGCAGAGAACAATCACTGTAAGGAGGCAATGAGTTGGGTTTAACACAGAAAAGATGGGGAAAGAAACAGACGTGTTTAAACAAATAACTGACTACCTCAAGGAAGAGAAGCAGTGGTGGATGGAATAAGCACTAATAAATTTAATCTCTTGAACTGCAACAAGAGATTGAGATTAGACTTTAGGAAAAGTTTTTCCTGATAGCAAGGCATCTGGAACATACTGCCCACCTACATGACAATTTTCATCAGTGAGTGGCTTCAAAGAACATGTCAAACGTGTTTGAGCTACAGCTTCTCCTACCCTGAGGCAGGGGACAAGACTAGATGATCTCTTGAATTTTTTTCCAGCTCTGATTTTTTTGGTTTGCTGTTTAACAACATCTGCCTCAGCCTCTGGGATCAGGCAGGAGTGGTTCTAACTTGCTTGTCATTGTTTTACTAAATCAGTCATATCTTGCTTGTGAAATATTGAGAGAGTCAATATCAGAATGTAACAGTTGCATTTTTAAACCTTTTAAATTGCTATTCTTCTCCATTAAGCAGGAGAAGCATTCTAAAGGTGCTTGGTCATTAAAAGGCTGCTCTTCTGCATTGCCATGAATAAACTCAGATACAGAATCACTAGAACAGGTCCCAGGAACACCCTTCATGCATCCAGAAGTCAGCAATAAATAACTCTATATACAAACCTAGTCTTAAAAAGAAAAAAGTCATCCTAACAACAGCTTAGTTGAGATTTACTGCTGCCCACCCTCCCCTATTTGCCTCCCAACAGAGTTTTGTCTGTTTTACTAATATCAATCCCAGATGGATAGTGTGCCATTACCAGGCTCAAATCAGGCAGCCTTTTACAACTGAGATTTTTATGGTAACATTATTTATTAAACTAGCAGCACTGAAATTGGGAACTGTCCTTCCAGATGGACGACACCATACCTCACAGCACAGGATGTCGCATTATGTATGGCAGTATTTACTCCTTTGAAATATAATTTGCAGACTTACTCATGCAAATAGATATTGTAAGGCAATGTATAAAAAAAATACCTGCTTTAATCATAATTATCTGGATGTGAAAACAGCTTTAGCAAGAAGCACTAAATGTCTGTGTGATGGATCCACTTGCCAGCATGGAGTCTGAACAATGAAGCACACTAAATTGCTGACAATTCAAAAGAAATCTTTTACAACCAGCTTTCTGATGAACCTCAAATTTATTGACAGCGCTTCACTAAGAGTCAGTTGAGTCACACCTAATAAGCTTAAAGATGTCAAACATGATGAATAAAATGTTTTTAATATTGCCATGATCCATGCTGTTACAACACTAAAGACCGAGTATTCCACTGCTTTCTACTGGAGTTTCAGCTTTATGCAGACAAAGCTTTTGTATTCTGTACCAATTACATGGTAAGTTTCTTACCACATCATATATCAACTGTAATATACAAAAATAAGCTCTGCTTGTATAACTGATTACATTACTTCTGCAATTATAGAATAATTTAAGTTGTAAGGGACCTTTGAAGTTCATCTGATCCAACTCCCTGCTCAAAGCAGGGCCAAATGTGAGGGTTGATCATTTGACCATCCTCACATTCAAGAATTACCATTTTATCTCATCAGAGCATCTCTCATTATAACTTGTATTTATTTGCCCTTGTTCTTTCACTCTGCAACTTTGAGAAGAGTCTGGTTGTCTTCCCACGTGGTAACCGAAGACAGCAATTAAAATACCTCCTTAGACTTCTCAAGGTTGAACAAAACGAGCTCGTTCTCCACACATCCTGTGCTCCAGGCCTCTAACCCTCCAGGTGGCCCTAAAAACTTTTGTCCTAAACTCACCTTACCTTCAGGCTCCCTTACTGGAGTGACTATGGCTACGGACTGAACGAAGGGGAAATGGCAGTGGAACTGCTCCAGACCTCTGGCTCTGCAACTGCTATTACAAAACCCAAGCTGAATGTCATGAAAGATGTAAAAAGCAAAGTTTAAAGGGACTGCTACTATGAAGTGGCAAATTAAGAATCTGAAGGGAAGTCACAAAGTTAGTTATTTGGCTGCTGGTTTTGTTTGCAGCAAAGCAACAGGGTAACAGGCAAGTTTTCATTAGTGGTTTTTTTTTTATATAAAAAATGCTAGAACATTGCAACAGCAGCTGGCATGGGGGAGGACAGGATGGAGAGCAGCAATAGAAGAAGAAGGAATTACACACAAGGACATATTTAAAACAATGCATTTTGGCAACCTTTATTCTCTACTGAAAATATAGAGTAGGAAAAAAAAATCAGACAAATGTCAGCATCCTAATTAGAAGTAGTTATTGCACTTTATACTTATAAATAGATAATGCTTGTGTCGTGCTTAAACAGAAAGAAAAAAAAGTAACAAGTAAATGATCAGTTACAAAATCTACAACACAGGCAAGAGATAACAGATTATTTCAGTTTGAGAAGGAAAATGATTAGGAGGAGAAGAAAGATAACCTGCATTAACCATGAAGTAATATCTAGATAAGGTGAACAGGAAATGATTTCTGAGAAATACTCAGAAGCAAACAGCAACAACTGCATTTATCAGAAAACAATTTTGAAATGAAAAGGAAGTAAACCTCCATACAATATATAAACTCAAGAGCTTAGTGACACCTGACATTATAAAAGCCAAAATGAAAAGAAGATCAAAAGAGCTATTAGAACAACTAATGAAAGATCAATCCACTGAAAACTTTTAACTCAATAAAACTAATACAAAACCAGATAAAGAAATTCCTGAGCCACACAGTGCTCGAAATGTCAGTAGCATACTGGGAAATTTCCTTCCTTATACTCCAATCCTAAAAATGCAATTTCTCTAACAAGTGTCTGGGAGGGGACATTAGGTTGCAGGGTCACTGATACAACTTCCCTTCTGACCAATGCAATGGCCTCATTTACCTACTAAATCCTTCCAGTTTTCATAAAAAGAGAGAGACTAGAAAAATTTCCATGTCTTATTAAACAGGGGATCATTTCTCTGAAACTGAGAAACTGGTCTGACACTTTAGAAAACTTCCTGGAGATGCTTTCTGTCACTAGAGTAGTTAAGCAGGTTTGAAATAAGCTTCATAAGTCAAAGTTAAGTAATAATGTTATGTACCAAGTCTGCTGTTACACACATCAACTAACATTCTATAATAGCTACAGCTGAACTGACCAGAAACCCCTATGGCTACTAAATGGTAACAGCATAACATACAACTAGAAAAAATAGCAATTTCTGTTACCACAGTTGTTGCTCTTAAAATAATTTCAACATATCACAGTGTTCAGACTTGAGAATTTTTCATGTTAAAAAACTATGGGTTTTGAATGCATTTTCTTTTTAAGGCAGTAAGAAATTAAAGAACAGTCAAGTTAAGTTATGACAATTAAGTCATTCTAACACCTCCCCCTCTCCTCTACTGCTTTGCTAAAGCAATTGAACAATAAATTGCATTTGGAGAACAACTGCACAATTGCCTAGTCATGCTACTAGCTAAATTGAACAGAATAAACTACTTAATTCATTGAGAGAATTTATTTGCAGTGCTTTTCTGAAGGAAAGCACAATCTTAATTTTCTTCCAGCATGTCTACCTCCAATTGAAATAAAGAATTCTTCCCATTCCCAAATTAGGTCCTTTCAGAGCATGAGTGTGCCCTGCACTAGTGCTAAACATCATCAGTTTTTAAATTAATCCTTCCAAAAGCACATTGCTAACAACCACCCCCAGTAAAAGACAGACACAGTGCACACTATTCATATCTGTCTGTCTTTAACAACTCATAACTATGGGATTGTAGGCTTAGTACCCAAGCTGTAACTACACCTTCAAATTATATCCACTTCATTAATTCTACAGACTAGATTAGCTAGCAAGAATGCTGCAGTACCCATTGTTCTCCCATTCCTTTCACTATGTTCTCAAGCTTCAGTGGGAGGGGTTGTTAATATTTATACTGTTGCAGGTAATTCTCTGTTTATCACTTGATGTCTTATATGTGGCTTCCTTCTTTCATAAGCTTCCTTCTTAAAAAAAAAAAAGCAGAAAACCTAAGTTATCCCTCCTCAGGGATGCAACTTCATCCAAGTTGAACACCAATGTGATGCTCAAACTTTCAGTAAGAGAACAACACAACCGGCACCCTGACCTTCAAACAACAGCTACACGGGCTGTTTAGCTGAGGAACAAGCGCGCTGTGCAGAACTTCACTCACGTGGTAAAGGGAAAGAACCACCAAGGACACCAGCTGGGATCTCTGCCTCATTTCAAACCTGATACGGGAGTTTCCAAGGGGAAAGCGGGATGGATGCAGCGCTGCCCCTGCGCTCAGGCAGCAGCACCCCCCCACCGCTCCCGCTTTCCAGCGCTCTCCCCCTTACGCACTTC